TCTTTTGAAGAACAGAAACAGCTGCCGTAGCCCTAGGTTCAAACCACCACATTTTCTGAGGTTCGATCTTGGCCATCTGTCGTGCAGATCGCAAAGCTGTTGCATTATTAGTCGCTCTTGTGGCAGTCACGAACTCCATGCTTTGTGAGGCAAACAGCAGAAATGATTCCATTCACTCTTCTTTTACTCCAAAGTAATGCATCTCTTCAACTGTTAAAATTTTTGACGGAACTCTATGATTCATTTGTAATTAAAGGGTTTCTTTCCAGATTGAGTCATGGGCCTTGGCAGTATCAGCGAAAATGGCATAAGTTTTGAATTCACGTTCCCTGTTCTTTCCTGTTTGCTACAGCATTGCGAATATCAGATCCAATCACTTTCTTCCTGTAATAAATCCAGACTTCTCTTCGCCAAACACCTTCGCAGGAAGTTGTCTAATCCTGCATATCATATCATATCATCCGGTAACACTATATCAATAACAAATGGTAGACCTATTCAATAGTGTCATTCGTGATCTTTTCATTCTGCCGTAGGAATCCAAAGTGACTTCCGGGTTCGATAATTAACTTTGGTTGTATTTCATCATTTCCTGCAGTTCTGTCATTTTTCAGTTAGCTTAAAGCGTCATTCACCTTCACAAGAGTCGGCGATCGAGCACCGGCAGTCGCCTGTAGTCTAGGCATTCACCATTAGTCCACATCCTACAGTAAATCTTAGTTCTCCATCATTTTCAGGGTTGCATAGTGATTCGAAACTGTGTGCTGGGCTATCCTAATATCTCTATGACTTCTGTAGCAGCGGATGTCAGATTACCATCATCTTTCTAAACGGTTGTTAGTGGGCACTGGTTTCTGTCGACGTAGAAAAAAAATATTCCTGAACAAAACTTTTGCATCGTTTTTTTGCTAGTCGACACTTTCGCTGTTTCAGTCTGCTTCTTCGCCAAAAAGTACTCTGTCTTGATGACCTTTAATTTTTTCTGCTCTTCTCTTTCTCTCCCTATCTCGAAATTCCTGTACTCTTACAAAGCCTGCTTTATCCTCGAAATCGTTTAGTTTCCAAATTTATCACGAGTTAGTTCATCGTTTGTTCTGTATAAATTGAGTTTATGTAGCAGAGTTTATAAAAGTTTTCAAACTGACGTTGCTTTTGGACGCGATGATTCATGGCACTCTGGTCGCATTTTATCGCAGCATAAACAATGATCACTGGAATTATACCACTTCTAGCTTAATTGGGTGTTTGTTATACTTTTCTGAAGCTGTTAGGAAAATTGTAAATTTACTTGTTTTTACATAGGAAAACAATCTTATAATAATAATGTTACATGCATAATATAACATGATATAATATCCTCATGTATAACTCCGCCGTATCACTTGTAAACAACCCTTGTTGATATTTAACGATTAATGGAATCTACTGGTAATTTATAAGTATCAACTTAATATTTGAATTCATATTTTTGTTTGTTTGCAGAAAATGTTAAGCCTCGTCTTTTAAATCAAGTGTGCTGTGGCATTCAGTTCTAAACGTCAGAGTGTTGACCGGATCTTACAGGAAATGGCGTTTGTTCAAACTTGGCAAATCAAAAAGAAGAACGAAAAGGACTAAACTTGAAAAGAAC